GCGTGCGCGATGGAGATTCGTGCGGTTAGATTTGTTTTTCGTGCATGAACGGGAACTTCAGAACGACAGAAAGAGTGGACTCTTCGTCCTCCTGTTGGTTGGGCGTGCGCGATGACGATTTGTGCGGTTAGGTTTGGTTTTCCGTACATGCAACGGAACTTCAGAACGACAGCGAGAGTCAACTCCTCGTCCTCCTGCTGGCCGCGACCTTGCGGCGGCGAGGGTATTATCTCGTGTGTGTACATACAATAAGGGAACTTCCTCCTGTTGGGCGCCCGTTCAAACGTCGTCTCTCTCGCATGTTCCTATGTGAACACACATAAAGGGGACTTCCAAACGACAGCGGGCGCGCGCGATTGCGACTCCGCGGTTCAAGCGTTTTCGTATGTTGGTAGCGGCAACTTCCCCAACAGAAAAATACCACGCGTGTACCAGATAGAGCTTGACGCGACGGAGGGCACGGGGGGGAGCAATGATTGGATATGGAGGGTCAACGACAAAAAAAGATACCATGAAGAACGCATCGGCTCTTGGGCCTTTTTGACGCATTTTTCGGAGGGGGGTCCGCAAAACGCAAAATAAAAAACCAACAACTTCCTATCAAGAGGGAGAGAGAGAGAGAGAAGAATGACTATCGTAACCACATCGACATGTCTTGCCTCCCAGCTCCCGTCGTCTTCTTCCTCTTCCTCCCAGCCGGAGGTGCGCGTGGACCGGAAGGCGCTGATTGGGTTGATCACCGGGTCGAAGTAGAACGCCGGTAGGTCGGGGTCCTCCGACTGAAACACAAGAAAAAAAAAAAGAAAGAAAGAGGCGAAACGGCCAGAGAGAGAGAGAGAGAGAGAGAGAGAGAGAGAGAATGGCAGAGATGAGCGCCTGATGGCGAAATACACGCAGAATGAGGTGCTGACCGGAGACCACAACGGTTCTTAACGTCAAGACAACAACAAACAAACAAACAAACAAACAGACGCAGTAGCAACAACCAATGCGAACAACTTCCAGGATAGTAGACAGCCGGGCGGTGCAAATTCCAAGACAACAGGATAATCATCAACAGCAACCACCATCCAGAACAACACGACAAAAGTCCGGCCTTGAGGTAGCAGACAGCCGGGTGGTGTACAAGTGAAGACAACGACAACGACAACAACAACAAACAACAGCAAACAACGACAACAACCCAGAACAAAAACCAACTTCCAAAAAAACAAAAGTCCGACCTTGAGGTAGTAGAGGGCCGGGTGGTGGTACGGCGCCAGGTGCACCGCGCGGGGGCGGGAGTTGTACAGGTACGGGAAGGCCACCCGGTACTCGGAGCGGATCTGGTGGCGGATGATGATCTTGTTGATGTCGTTGAACTCATTCCAGTCCTCTTCGTCGCGGTCCATGTCGCGGAACAGGGGCTCGAACTTGGGCCCGCCGGGCATGGCGACGTTGAGGGCCTTCGCCGTGAAGAACGCCTTCTTGTCGAACAGGTACCAGTAGTTCCTGTTTTGCGAGGAGGCGTTTTTGCCGGGGGGGGGGGGGGGGGGGGACCCTTATGTTTTGGATGCCCTTTGGGGGTAAACCCTTTGCCCCCCCTCCCCCAAAGGAAGACGGAACACATTGGTTTTCTTCGGTCCGGGTGTTTTGGCGGCCTCCCCAACAATTTAATGGCAAAACCCCGGGTTGTTTGGGAAGGGCAAAAAAGGCGGTGGCCAAAAGGAAACCCGCCCCCAATAATGGACCCC